TCTCCTGAATCACCTTCACCTTTTCTAAAGCATCCTGCACCAAGTCTGTCCCCAATAGCCTAGTCGCACCCGGCTCAAACCAACCAACTGGAGATCTACACCGCCTCTCATACAAAGCCTCATATGGAGCCATCTGAATACTCGACCGGTAGCTGTTGTTATAAGCAAACTCTGCAAGTGGTAGAAACTGATCCCATGACCCTCCGAAATCAATGACACAAGCACGTAACATGTCCTCCAATATCTGAATAGTGCGCTCGGACTGCCCATCCATCTGAGGGTGAAAGGTTGTGCTCAACTCAACCTGAGTACCCAACTCTCGCTGCACAAACCTCCAAAATTGTGAAGTAAACTGAGTGCCCCTATCTGAAATGATGGAAATTGGGACACAATGCAAACGAACAATCTCCCGGATATAGATCTCTGCCAACTGCTCGGAAGAATAGGTAGTACACACGGGAATAAAGTGCGCGAACTTGGTCAGCCGATCCACAATCACCCAAATAGCATCGAACTTCTTCAAAGTCTGTGGAAGTCCAACTACAAAGTCCATAGTGATCCTCTCCCACTTCCACTCTAGAATATAAATCTACTGAAGCAAGCCACCGGTCTCTGATTCTCATATTTCACCTGCTGACAATTGAGACACCGAGCTACAAATCCCACAATGTCCTTCTTCATCCTCCTCCACCAATAATACTGTCTCAGATCCTGGTACATCTTCGCGGCACCCGGATGAATAGAATACCGCGAGCTATGGGCCTCCTCCAGAATCAACTCCCGAAGCCCATCCCGAAGCCCATCCACATTGAACGAAGCCCATGTAAAAATAACCAATTTACAACATAAATCCTGAAATTAACCAAAACCCGACCCCCGGGCCCACATCTCAGAATTCGATAAAATTCACATCAATAGATTCCTTATCTCCCCGCGAGTTCATACATATCAAAAGTCCCAAAATCTGACCACAAATGGCCCCTCAAATCCTCAAGTCTAGGTCTCCAATACCAAGCCCTAGTTTCCCAATTTTTCACTTCAAGAAATTGTATTTTTAGCAGCAACGTATAGTGGCGACCCTATATATTGCTACAATAGTTATACTTTTAGCAGCGACTTTTATAGATTGCCACTAAAAGTTATTATTTAGCAGCGACTTTTCTGAGGTCGCTTCTAATGTAGCTGAAATTTCCAGTTCCGCTCAAACTAAAATTTTGGCTCCATATTATTTGTGGCGACTTTTAAGTTGTCGCTGCTAAAGTCCTATTGGAGCGACTGGGTCGCTAATAGACCCCTTATATTTTAATTGGAAATAACAAAACAAAATAAACAAAACTCTTCCTAATTAAAGGACACAAAATAGAGACGCTCAAACACTTCTCTCTCTCTCTAAATCTTTCCTCCCTCTCTCTAAATTCCCTTCTGCTAAAATTTTACCCAGCTCTAAATGTCTCAAATAAAGATGTGAATCTTATTTATCAGGTTTGTGGTCAAATCCCTAATTTTCCCTTTTTTCTTTTAGGAAAAAAACGGATGTGCATAATCGAGTTTTGTGGAGGAAGAATCGCACATCCGATTTCTCTCCCTAATCTTATATAGCCGATGTGACCTAATATTTTCCCTAATCTCAGCGACTTTTCTGAGTTTTGTGCATATGTTTAACTGAAAACCCATATTAATTTATATATAAATTTATGTTTGCGGTTTTTTAATAAGGATTATTTATTCTATAAGGTAAAATACATTCAGTAAGGGATTATTATTATTTTAGTGATTTTACATTTGTATTCTCATATTTCATCTCGAATTTCTTTGAACCATTTGATAATCTACAGGAATGCAAAGAAAAATCATACAGAAAGACTCATTTGAAGCCTATTTGGTGTTGTTATTGTTGATTTTCAGTCTTGACAGGACTCTCACCTATCTATTTTTTGGGTAAGTTAAAGGCTTCTTCTTGAGAGACCTATTTCATATTGGTATTCCATGCTTATTTTTTTCTTCTTTTATGACTATGTGCCTAAATCAGTAGATACATACTTTTAAATTTATAAGGTACATATATGTTACTGTAAGGTTATAAGAAAACATAATATTTCTTTGGTAAATGCATGTATTTGGCCACTTAAACAATAATTTGAATGTAATATGCTTTCTTGTCATTTGGAAAAGGAGTTTAGATAAACTATCAACTCCTAACCACACCCTAAAAGCTAAATGCATTCTGTTTTTATTTAGTTGGGCAAAAGTTTCCTCTATAGAATCCCCTAAACCTTTTTGAACTTTGTTAGCTCTTTGTAACTAAGATAACATATATGTAGTAAGCTAATAGGTGGTCTTTTTTGCTTTTTGAAGCTTATATGCTTCTGTTGCTTCTTGTAATATTTGCATCTTCTTGATGAAATCAATGAAGCCAATTATTTCATTAAAAAGGAGTTTAAGTAGGAAAAATAGGAGATGACTTGGTAGAAATTTTTGGGCAAGGATCCTATTTATCTATAATCTCAGTTTTTTAGTTTTTTTCCTCAGATAAACATTCATGTCCATTAGTACTGTTGCAACTTTTCAGTTAACTAGCCTATAGAAGATTTAGCATTGAATGATAATTGATAATTGTGGAGCTCTTTCTTAATGTTATATAAAGAGTTACGTGAAGCTTTGTGGAGATTGGAATTTTGGCAAGAGACTCTTATGTTAGATTAAAGATTTGGGTTTTCTTAAAAATTAAAATGACAACTGGAAGTGTCTTTCTCTTATTATTTCTGCTAAGAATAAGAGGCTTACCTTGTGTCTTTTCCTTATTGTGTTCAAAATAGAGACTTTTATATTTGCAATTTAATTGTCAAACCAGTTAAGTATCTTTTCTTATTATTTCTGCTACATTGTTGCCATTTTATGTATGTGAAATGACTTGTGGTTGATAATACACTAATTTGTGTTTGCATAGTAAAAATCAGCTTTTGGTACGTGTGTTGAATTCATTTTCCAAGTTTTTTGCTGCTTTTATTACTCTAATTTACGTTTTACTTCAGAGAAAATTTTTTCTTAGTGACTCTCTAAACTGTTGTTCTTGCTTTTCATTTAACAATAACTATTGATGTAGTGCAAGAACAAGATTACCATAATCTTTGTTGATATAACAAATTAGGACAAGGAAGGAATGACCCCTTTTTTTTTTCCTATCATAACACACTTTATAGTTTAATGTGGTTAATCTATATGACTAAGTTGATGTAGTTCTTCCTCGAATTACTATTTTTTCAAAACAATATACGCAATAAGGAAGATGATTTCATTAATGACAATCATATAAATATATCCGAGAGTGAAGATAGCGAAGAAGAGTTATTTAATGATGATGATGATGAGGAGAGGACACTGATACATCCTCTTGAAGACTAAGAACCAAAACACTGATGATATAGATGTCTACATTATATTTTAAAAATTCTCTGTATTTTGTCCTTATTAAACTAATAGTGAATTAGTTCTTGATGCTTGAAGTTTTATGTCTATATCTTATTTTGAAAAGTTCTCTATATCTTTGTAATTATAAGACTTACAATGATACTAGTTTGTGATGCTTGTAGCTTTATATTTGCATCTTATTTTAGAAAGTTCCATGTATTTTTATCCTTATTAGACTGAATGTAATTTCTTCAAGATGTTTAAAGCTTTAATTTCATAATAGAATCAGCAGGGAAGTAAAGTCAGTACTTGAGTTGCATGGATCAGAAGTTGCACGAAGAACGTGAAATGGCTACTGAGTTGAAAAGGAATATGGAACTTGAGTTGCAAAGGAAGTTGGAGCACGAGTTGTTGAGTAAGTTGGCAGAGGAGCGTGAACTCGTGAATGTAGAAGTAGAGAAGAGGATCCATCTAGAAGTGGTAAAGAAGATGGAAGAACAATTTGCTACTTTCATGACCAGAATGCAACAGGTACTTGCTCTGCTCCTTAATGAGTCTATACCTTGATTTGAAGCTTGGCCAGGGTGAGTCTATATCATTTGTGTTTGGATCATCCACAAGTTTATCTTCTGATAATAGATTGTTGGGTTATTTTGTGTTTATCTGAAGATTTTTTCGATTAGGCATATGAAGCGTTTGAAAGAAAGCCTGAGAGAAATCTGGGCTGGGATAAATAGTTAAAAATATTGTCATATTTCAGCAATCTAGTTAAAAATGCTTTGTAAAAACTAATGTGCCACTGTCAACAGGTGATGACACAATTGGTTCCTCGTCAATTGACCTCTAGTAACTTTTTAGATATTAAAATATAGTTTTTCGAGATGGTAAAATATACTCAGGCATAAAAGCAAGCAGCTATGTAATTGCAAACGAAGGAGTCAGAACTTTTAGCTTTTAAAATAAATGAACTAGAAAATTTTACGATATAACTTTCTCAAAATGGCAATCTGTGGTCAAGCGAAAATGGAGGCTTTTTTATTAAGAGAAAAATGGAGGTTATCTTTTGCAATTAAAATGCAAGTTTTGCAACAGAAGTAGTGAAGTTACCTCTGATCATGATACATTTAGGCATAACAGAAAGTGACCAGTTGTACACAAAGAAAAGAGAAATGTTGAATTGTTAAAAAAAAGAACAGAGATTTTAATAATTGAAGTTTCTTGAAATGGCAACTTGCGCAAGGAAACATGTTATTTGTGCGTTTGGAATTCTGTAGAAGTGGTGAAATACCAGTAAAATATGATGCATATTGCATACTTAGCTCTTGTGAAACTGTAAGCTTTTGGATCCATCTAATAAATTATGGTTGTCGCACAGGCTCATTATCAAGTTTCAAGCCCCTAATTCAATATGCAAAATGTACACTATATATAGGTGGATATTACTGTAACATTGTTATGGGCTTTCATTTTTTTGTCATTGTTTGATTATTTTTCACATTAGGATGCTAAAAATTTAACTGTAAGGATTTGTTCTAAATATATTTTATGCTCTGGATTGTGCAATAACACTATTGATCATAGTTCTAGGCTGGTAGCATTGTGTGGCTATCCGTGAGAATTGTATTCTTGGTCTGACTAACAGTTTTAATTAACAATGGTGTACGAAAAATAAAGAAAGATAAGGTTCTTCTATTGGTGTTATGCTACCAGTTTTTTTTTTCCATTTTTTGATCAACTTTAGATAAACTGTACTACTGCAATGACAAACATAAGGGGTGAGGGATGGGGTTGAAGCATAATGCTGTATTTTTGTGTCCTTTATTTTGTTCATGACCTTTGTGTCAAAGGTTTCAATAAGGTACTGCACCAAAAAATGTGATTCTATTAAAATCGCTTGTTGAAAGTAAATTGCATGTTTCTTTCTGAAGCCACGACCGTGTTGGCAAAGCTGCATAATACAAACATTTATCCTTAAGTTGTATCTTATATTACATAAAGGTAATTCTGTTGAAATTAAATAGGATAGTTTTATAATACATTGAAGTATGAGCTTATGCTCATCTTCAGAAGTTTGCATGTTTCCTTTTCTTGAGCTACACCATTTATACTTGATAATGAAAGTCTTTTCATTACCCAAAAAAAGAATATGTTGTTCTTGTGCACATAATTGATACATATTGTATTGTTTTGTGGAATGAATATTATTGTATTGGTAAATAAATTATTTTCTGTGGTTGAATCACTATTTTTTGTTATGAATGTCATCTGGTATGTTGAAAATATTTATTGAAGTAGGTTTAGTAAATGGAAAATTATAAGCACATGAAAGTTTATAATTTAATTGTCTATGCATATTTATGGATATAACAAATTTTATTGTGTTCCTTACATTGCTTTTTTTAGCAGATACAAGGTACTTTAACAATAGTGTCGTTCAAAGATGGTGTCGACCCAGGAGCAACTACGAGGCACTTAATATTTTGTTTATTTTGGGGTCATATGTATATGCGTACAATGGCAATTCACAACGAAGTTTTGTGTAATATATATGTAATTGACTTTTTAGTAATGAAAAATATTTATAATATTCGGCTTGAGATTTTTTTTTTGGTGTTTGTTAAATATTACTGGAAGCTTTTGATATTGGTAGGCAAACTATATTAAATTTTGTGAGAATTAGGTTGCTACAGGAAATATATATATAATTTTCTTATTAAAGTTGCTGATAAATACGTTATAGCAGTGACATAATTTTGTCACAGAAAATCAGTAATTGTTGCGATTGAAAAGTTGCCACAGTTGGTTAAATGTTTTGGTGGCGACTTCAGTCGCTGCAAATAAAAATTTTCTCTCTCATGGTTTAATATTTGTGGCAGCATAAGTCGCTGCTAAAGGTCATTTACAGTGGCAACAAAACTTGCTAGGGATCAAGACATACTTTTGTGGCGACCTTTGTCGCCGCTAAAGGTAATATATACAGTGGCGACCACCTAATTTTTATTGTTGTGAAAATAGTTTTTGTAGCATATTACTTCCACCTTTTGTGGCAACTACGTCGCCACTAAAAGTTTATTTGTAGCAGCGACTTCGTTTATCGCCACAGATAACATTTAGTTACGGTTGCACTTACAACAACACCAAGGCCGCCACTGATAACCTCTAGCGGCGACAATTAGCAAATTTGTAGCGACTTAGGTCGCCACTAAAATGCTGATTTCTTGTAGTGTTTAACCCTTAATTTCCACTAATTACAGCTCAAATCCATGAAATAGTGCCATAGAAACGAGTTTTAGGTTCAATAATCTTACCTCCAGACAATATCCCTTGAATCCCTCTTCAAAATCTTCCAAAAAGCTCCAAAACCGACTTAGAAATGGTGGAATAACCCAAAAATTGGCGAAGGAAATAATTTATACCTTCTGGCCGAGGGATTTCGCATCTGCGGCCAAAATCCCGCTTCTACAGTATCGCTTTTGCGGTCCATGAACCGCATCTGTGGTCCTCACTTGAGCCCCACAGTCTCCGCATCTGCGATGCCTAACCCACACCTGCGCCATCGCATGTGCGGTTCCTCAACCGCTTTTGCTGTTCCTACCAACCATCCACTTGGCCGCATCTGCGGCTCCCTTTTCGCTTCTGCGAGACCGCAGCTGCTGTCCCCTAGCCGCAGGTGTGGTTATGACAGCAATGACACATCTTCAGCTGCCAAAACCAACTTTCAAACTTTCCGCCAACCATCTGGAATCACGTCGAGGCCCCCGGGACCTCAACCAAAAGCACAAACACATCATATACCACCTCCCAAACTTATACGAATCTTCAATACACCTCAAACAACATCGAATCAACCAAAACTCATCGGATTCAAGCCTAAGTTTCCAAAATCTTCCGAATTCCACTTTTGATAAAAAAGTATACCAAACCACATCCGAATGACCTAAAATTTTGCACACACCTCCCAAATGACATAACAGACCTACTACAACTCCAGGTATTCTATTCTGACCCCTATATCAAAATCTCACCTACCAACCGGAAAATGCCAAAATTCCATTTTTACCAATTCAATCCTAAATCTACTCCGGACCTACAAAACACATTCCGATCATGCTCCTAAGTCCCAAATCACCTCCCGAAGCTATCCGAACCATCAGAATTTACATCCGAGCCCTCTAACACATAAGTCAATATCCGTTGACTTTTCCAACTTAAGCTTCCTCAAAAGAGTCTAAATGTCTCAAACCTTCTCAAAGCCTTTCCGAACCCGAGTCAACCAACCTGATCACACATAAAATCGATAAACAAAGCAATAAGAAGCAAAAATGAGGGAAATGGAGCGGTAACTCATGAAATGACCGGTCGAGTCGTTATAGCAGACTCCGGAGGGGTTCCTACATCCCAAGCGCTATATCGCTGCGGTGTGCTGTCCGATCCATATATATATATATATATATATATATATATATGCAACCCGATCCATAAATATATATAATCCTCACCATCAGGTCCTCGACCTCTCTCAATCATTAACCTCACAACTACTCGGGCATTTCAGTGAAAAATCAGGGAACTCAGCCCAAAGAGTTTTCATATATTTGAAAGTAGAGTAATGAAACTGAATCAAACAATAAATAGGTAAAAATCATGACTGAGGATATGCTTTCAAATCAAAATAGTGTGAGGATAGTAGTAAAATACCCCCGAGGGCCCAAACAGTTCGGCACAAGTCCCCAAACATAGCATTCAGCCCAAGTTAACAGATTCATTTCTAAAACACATAGATATCATATAGAGTTTATCAAAATATGCAACTCTACAGTTGCCATAGGACGGACCAAGTCGCAATCCCTACTAGTGCATGCTCATACGCCCCTCGCCTAGCATATGCATCACCTCATTTATCAAAACAGTATGAAGTTCCAAGGTTTCATACCCTCAAGTCTAAATTTACAATCTTTACTTACCTCGAATCGGACGAAAATCTACTCTGCAATGCCCTTGCCTCTCGACTCGGCCTCAAATCATCCCAAATCTTTCCAAAATCAAAATCATATCATCAATACATGCCAAAGGGACAAAACCCACGTGAAAATTATCAAATTAAACTCAAAATCCCGAAATTGGCAAAACCCGACCCCTCGGGCTCATGTCTCGGAATTCGATAAAAATCATATCACTACGATCCTTATCCGAATGATCTAAAATTTTGCACACACGTCACAAATGGCACAACAGACCTACTAAAATTTTAGGAATTCCATTCCGGCCTCGATATTAAGATCTCCACTGCCGACCAAAAAATGCTAAATTTCCAATTTCGCCAATTCAAGCCTAAATCTACCACAGACCTCCAAATTACATTCCGAACACGCTCCTAAATCCAAAATCACCTAAAAAAGCTATCCAAACCATCATATTTCACATCCAAGAACTTCTACGCATAAGTCAACATCTGGTTGACTTTTCTAACTTAAACTTCCAAATAAGAGACTAAGTGTCTCATTTCACTCCATGACCATCCCGAACACAGAACAACCAACACGATATGATGAAATACAACTGAACAACACAAAAATAAGAAAAAATGGGGAGAACGAGATTATAACTCATGAAACGACCGGCCGGGTCGTTACATCTTCCCCCTCTTAAACAAACGTTCGTCCTCGAACGAGTCAAGAAACATATATGAAGCCTCAAATAGGTGAGGATATGTCACGACCCTAAACCCAGACCCGATCGTGATGGCGCCTCTCGTGAAAACAAGGCCAGCCGACATAACACCTAATTCATTTTAAGCAATTAAAATACATAATTTAAGTCTTTAACATGATTAAATCCCAAATAAAATAGTGAGATAGTACAATTTGCGGAAAAACCATCACAACCCGGCATTGAGGTGTCACCAGTCATGAGCATCTAACATAAGTCTAGGAATATGGGAAAAGGGACTACACCGTCTATTACAAAATCCAGCACAAGAGAAAGAAATAATGATAAGAGGGAGAAACACTGGGCTACGAACACCGAGCAGCTACCTAGTGGACTCCGAAAATCTGCTGGAAGTTGTCAACCCCCGTTAGCAAAACCTGAAGCTCTTGAGATTGCACACAGAGTGAAGGGAGTAAAGTGAGTACTCCAACTCAGTGAGTAATAACAATAAATGAAGATTGAGCGATAAGAAATTACGTAAAAATACAACAACATGCTATAAAGAGGCTGAGTAAAACCAGTAAAGTACAATAAAATAGTGACATCTCATAAAACACCTTAGTTCAGTATAAGCTTCTTTAAAATACCTTTTTTAATAGTTAAACAAGTAAATGACAGGCAACTAGAAGAGATAAACACATAAAAACCGCCCCTCGGGCACAATACCAACAGAATCAGCCCCTCGGGCAACAACATGGAACAACACCAGCCCCTCAGGCTAATCTCATATCACAATGGTCACCCGCGCTCACTTGGAGTGTACAGACTCCGAGAGGGTCCCCTTATGGTCCAAGCGCAATATCAAGCCATCTTGTGGCATAATCAATAGGCTCCTGGCCTCATATTAAGCCACCTTGTGGTGCACAATCTCAGGCTCTCGGCATCATAATTATAAATCGGTGTATCATTGCTGCGACGTGCAACCCGATCCAAAAGTATCCTCACAACATAGGCCCTCGTCCTTACTCAGTCAAAATCTCATCAGCCACTTGGGCAACAATAAAACATGATGCTCAGCCCAAAATATCATTTAAAATACCATTTAATGTGTTAAAACAGAGTAAACATGGCTGAGTTATGAAAACAATAGAATATAGCATGACTGAGTACAAGTATAAAGTCAAAATAGTGAGAAATAGTAGTAAAAATCCCCTAAGGGTCCAAAATAGTTGGCACGAGGCCCAAATATGGAATTCAACCCAAACATGAAGATAACAAAAAGTTTTTAATCAAATACGCGGTAAAATAGGTATTTGGGATGATCCCCAATGGTGCACGATCCCACACTCCTCCTCTAGCGTGTGTGTCACCTCAACATAGCATAACGATGTGTGATCCAGGGTTTCATACCCTCAGGACAACATTTACAATCATTACTCACCTTGGTTCGGTCAAAACTCTAGCCTGCAATGCCTTTTCCTCTCGAATCGGCCGCAACTCACGTCGAATCTAACCAAAATCCGAATCACAACGTCAAAATATGTTAAGGGAACGAAGCCCATGCGAAAATAATCAATTTACACCATAAATCCAGATATTAATCAAAACCCAACCCCCGGGACCACATCTCAGAATTCGGTAAAATATACATCAGGAGATTCTTTATCTCCCCATGAGTTCATATATATCAAAAGCTCCAAAATCCGACCACAAATGGCCTTTCAAATCCTCAAGTCAAGGTCTCCAAATCTCAAACCCTAGTCCCCACTTTTTAACCCTTAATTTCCATTAATCTTAGGCCAAATCAGTGAAATAATGCCATAGGATCGATTATTAGGTTCAAAAATCTTATCTCCAGACGTT